GGGAAGTGGTGTAATGGATAACGCGATGCATCCAAATGTGAAGGGGTGTGGTTCGACTCCCAACTCGTTCCCAACCGTTTTTGAAAAAGGAACTTTGTACACCATAACATTTTTCAAAGAAGGTATTTTTATTAAAATATCCACTAGCCGTACGGTGGTCACAACTCACCTCCTGTAAACTCTGATAGTTGTTTCCGGAATCTCATGACTGGTGACAAATTTGATATACAGTGGCCAAATGCGATCATGCTGAGTGACCGGCAATGCCCTCAGAGCCCGATCAAACACTCGTCTTGTTCGCGTTATAAAACGCTGCTGAATCAAAAATTCGCCATACTCCATCCAAATTCGAGGCATCTAAAAAACAACCTCGCTGAGTGACCCCCGCACCGATTTTTTTTAAATGAAATTATCATTTTTAAAAAAGAAAAAACGGAAATTTTTAAAGGTTTTTTCGCTAAATAAAATAATTTGAATGTTACAAACCTTGTGCATAAAAACGAGTGCCCGTTCGTAGGCATTGTTAACATGCACGTACGATGGATCAGTGGGACATTTGTCGGCTACTTGTTTTCGACGAAATCGAAGATAACTGTACCTAAATTCAGAGAACTTCAAAATCAAGCTCAGCAACACTGAGTATAAATTGATATCATTCTTTTCTTCCAAAATTTCCCTCAGAAAAATTTACAGTTCGTAAAAAAAAACATGGACATTCTTGGGATAATGCTGGGCCTTTATAAGCAGGAATTAAAGCTAAGACGATTGTAGCATCCAGGTTAACCCTGGAAGCCGAAGTATCGAAGACGCAATTGAATGCAGAAAGCTAGAACAGTATGAGAGGAGATAAGAGTGAGATAAGACGTTTCGGTCCATTAAATGATATACTTCTTAACCCAACACTGCGACAGGACCTCGTCAGTATCATAGCAGCTGTTTTCAACAGTATAACAAAAAATGTGTTTTAACTATGGAAAAATCGAAAGCCCCTCGGAATTATTCTCGAGTGGTAAAACGAAATGCTAGAGCAGCTTGTCATCTACAAAAGTTTTGGTTACGAATTCCTCTTGTTTATACGTAAATCATCATTTCTCTGTGTGCATTTTTTCACTTTCATCTGCTTAGCGTGAAATAATAGACCAACAGGATTGTACGCAGGCGTCATGTGTAAGGTGATATTTTACAATGCAAACTGCCTTTATCCTTTAGATGTAGTGGAGTGATATTTTTCGATGCAGTCTATGAAGTGAGGTGATTTTTTCATCTGCTTAGCGTGAAGTATTTGCTGGGAACAAGTAAACGATCGTAATCTCCCTTCGAGAACGATTCGGTGGATTAAGGCACGTAGAACCAGAATCCGTAATGTGGGTCAGTGCAGTGAGTTAAGAGCAGTGTATTGTGGATCGCCGGGGCAGTATGGGCGTGGCGCAATCTGGGATTGCCGGGTGCCAGGCTCGACGAAGGATCGAAGCGCGAAGGAAGCGTCAGGATCGTACTGATCTCTGCGACCCCAGTCAGTACCAATCGAAGAACTGAATACCCGGAACTCCTTAACCCATCGCGGACGTTTTGGTTATTTTCATTGCTGCAATAAAATAGAAGAATAGAAGGATTTGACTTGAATGTCATGTGCATGAAAAAATTTTATGAAGCAATCTCTGTGTTTCATCCCTCAGCTGTATACACAGACCGAACTATGCATGCGGGTAGGAGTGAGAATCATTAATACAGCCTCCTACACGCCATGTTTTGAATAGTTATGTAACTGATTTGCAAGACGGATAAGAGGAAGAAATAGATATAAGTGAAGGAGCAAATAAAGTGAGAAAGGAAGGAAAGAAGAGAAGTTAAAACGTGATACGGACAGTTATTATTTAATTATTAGGAAGAACTGTTTATGTGAATAAACTACTGACTAGGGTTTTATTTTTGAATCATCAGGGAAGATGAATCGAACTCAACTTCTGTCATAAACGACACAACCCCTGCCGGATCCAGGAAGTTTTCGGCACCCCCTCCTCCCAGGGCCTCAGGTAGCAGCTGTTTTACTGTACAAAAGTCTCTTCGATATTCCCTGTC